GGTACAACACCAATTCCTTGATAAGGTGTGACATTGCTGGTCGTTTTGCGAGTGTGAGCTTTTCTTGCCAGCAGAATGCAGTGGCCGCTTGGTCCAGATCAATTCTCCTTGCTCGGAGTTGACCCATAAGTTCAGTGGTAAAAACGGCTTCGCTGACGTGTTTGCTGCATGTGAGATGGATGTCGAAGCCATGTGCAGCGTACCGTAGCCAGTACGAGGACCAATTGTGTCGCAAAAATGCGACCAATGGTGCTGTTGCGATTGGCATGCCTGCTGTGCGGTTATGCACTGAATGTGGTGTAGATTGAATGTGTTTGGGGAGGTTGAGGCCAAAAAGCTGCCTGTTGTCCCAATGCTCCGGTGTTTGAACAAAGTCGTTTGGTATCTGGGGATTTGCAGGCGTGGGATTGGGGTGTTGCTGTTGTTGGGTTGCGACGGTGGCTTGAGGTAATGTATGTGACGAAATGCTGGGGTTTCGAGTCGTCATCGGAGATGGACTCACAAATGTGTGTTGGGGAGTGGCAGGTGTGGGGGTTGGCAGTGTGGTGGGTGGAATTGGTCCGGGAAACTGTTGGGGTGGGGGAGGGGGTGGAGGGAAAGGTGGGAACGTGTTGTTGTGGCTGTACGTGTGAGCTGAACCCCAAGTAGTCGGGATTGGTGATGAGGTGTGTGGTGGGATGTTGTGGATCCCTGGTGGTGGGGAGATCGGGTGCAATGGGGTACTGCTGGTCGAGGTTGTTTGTCGCTGCACGGTACTGATTGCTGTACCGATGATGCCTGTTGGCATTGTTGTATGCCACTGAGGCTGTGTCGGCTTGTACATGGTTGCACAGTGGGGCACTACAGTTGCCTGTGACTGCAAAAGCTGCACATGGAACATGCATGAGCAACCTGGTTGGCTTGAGCGTCAACATCAACTTGTGCGAGGCATCCAGCATGCAGCTGCATCGAATCTTCTTTGGCTCAAAAGCGAGGTCGGAGCAAATGCCTGATTGCAAACAACTATGTGTACAGGGATTCAGGCCTGGAAGAAAAAGTACTAGAGAGTTACAGGAAGACACAGAAGAAGAAATCAACATCACTGAATGAGGCCGAATCCAACGATGCTGAAGTGCCCGGAGTGGAATCCCCACTTCTCCGGGGTCCGCACAACACCCTTTCGCCCCACGATGAAGGCTTCTCTGTACATGTCCCGATACGTCATCTTGTAATGCTGATACTTAGTCCGTATTGTCCCGATGACGATCACTCCCTGTTGGCCCTTGGGCCGCCGCGTACATTGATCGGTAACTATATGTACCGTGCTTTCCGACACATCTCCTGGGGTCGCATTCCCGTATATGACGCAAGAGGGAATGGGTGGATAGGACTTGTCGTCGAAGCAATGGCTGACAGAACTTGGGCGGACCAAGTCCTCACGCATTATGCGTGCGGCACTTGCAATGCTCGTGCCGTGTCCGGCGGTGTAGATGTATGTTTCCCCTGGTGGGTCAGTGGCACGAGTGCCGAATGCTCTGCGAGTCTCACCAGCCCACGGGATGAATAACATAGTATGCACGCCGTCCGATATTGGCGTCAGCGTTGCTCCCAATTCGTTGCACGCTGAGCGCGTGCCCGACTGTAATACGGCATGCGCGAAATTCGGCTAAAGTCTCCTGCCTGAAATCGCTGTCAGCAGCTATCTCGCCCAAAGTTTTGGCGAGTTTGTGCGCTTCCTCCAAGTCGACAGCGTGGGGTGTCGGCTTTTCATGATCATAAAGCTCAGAGAAAGGCGCCACATCAATCTGTGGTGGTCTGCTCTGTTTGCCCAGTTGTTCGAGGGTTGGCTGACCCGATGGGGCAGCAGTTGTGGATGCATCGAAAGTCGGAGCAGGTGTCCGAACAGAGCTGGGGGGATTGTGCCGAAGCTGTTGGCGCGAAGATGTGCCCTGGCTTGTTGGGGGCTGCTGTTGTGCTGCTTGGCTGCCCTTGATGCGGAGGGCGATGCGCTGAACCTGCGAAGCCAATGTTTTTTGTGGGACCTTGGGTGGGGTAGGTGGCCTTTGACGTGGCTGTGTGGCTCTGTAATGCCACTTGTTGGCATCATCATCACGCACTGTAGAATAGCTGCGGAGCACAACCGAGGTCCGAGGAGGTGTCGATGAAGCTCGCCTGGTGTCCCTGCGAGAACGGCTTCTGCGAGTGTCGCGGGATCGATGGTGTCTGCGTCGGCGGTGCTGTCTGCCGCTGCTTGCAGGTCGTGCTCGGCTGCGCGTGTGTCGACGGCGTCTAGTGCTCACGGTGCGAGTTCTGCTGCGTGTGGGTGAATGCCGTCGTCTGCGTGGCAGCGGAGGGTGATGGGGAGAAGTACGGGCTGCGAGCTGGTCAGTGTCTGCCGATCCCGTATCTGGGGGTGGTTGTGCGGGTGGCACTGTATTGACGGAAGGGGTGTTGGCTGTGTTTGTTGGTTGTTGTTGTTGGGGCGTCATTGCCGGTGTCTGCGGGGCAGTGTGTGCAGCATCGGCAGTGGGAACACTGGTGGGGTGGGGTTGTGGAGCTTGTTGAATTGTTGTTGGCGGCGGTATGTGGGATTGTTGAATGGGTTGTGTGGGAGGGATGTTGCAAGGTGCAAGTTGGGGTTGTGGGGCAGGTGGTGTAAAAGGAAAGTTGAATGTGGTAGGTTGGGCCTGATGCTGTGCCGAAGCAGATGGGCTCATGGGAAAAGCTGTTGGATGGGTAGGCAAAAGAGCAGGGTTCATGAACGGTGTGGGTGTTGTGACATGAATTGCTGGGGTGGAGGTTGTTGTGGCATCTGGGGTTGTGGTGTGCTGAGATGTGCGTAGATCGTCGGATGCTGTGGAATAGGAGCGGTGTGTCCACACGGCATCATGGGGAAGCCGTGTGTTTGCTCAAGAGGAATCGTAGTGGGTTGTGTCGGCAGTGTGGGCTGCTGAGTGGCAGCAATGCCGGTTGGCATCATTGCTGGGTAGCTTTGAGACTGCGGTACCCAGGTGTTCTGGTGAAATTGATTAAGCACCGGTCGGGCTGTTGGTGCATATGGTGTTGCTGGTGGCTGCGCGGCAAAATAATCCGGCCACATAGCTGCAACGAAGCGGGTGAAACACACACAGTTGCACAAGCAAAGTGCAGGCTGTCCTGATTGTCCCTGCTGGACTGATTTGAGAGGTCGTAGACGGAGAGAAGGAAGGTAGAGGGCCGAGTACTCTCCGGAGAGAGCGCTGCTTCACTTGCTGTAGACATCTTTACCACGTCTGCACTCATGTCAGATGCACATGCCCTTGCAGTCCCTGAGGAATAAAGAAGTGGAAAAATACGGGGCAGACTAGAGAGGTAGCACCTGCTCACTAGACGCACTTTACTGCATTAGCCGTCCCTTACTGCACCTGCACTCATGTCAGACTCACATGCGAGCATCAGAGAGAGAGAGATAAAGTAGCATCTGGAGAATCTGAACGATCTGAACGAAGGCTGAACACCCGGTTCATCACCGGTCTCCCCGGAGGGTCACCACGGCGCCATGACGGAAAGCCGTTGCTCTGGAGTCTCATAGACCCACGCTGATCACACTGATGGATTCGGCCAAGAGTACGAGTGCAAGAGGAAAAAGAGAGGCATGTTGTTCAAGTTGTAAAAGCTTGTCAGATTGTGGCAACCGTACAGCTTGTTTGTTGTCAAATCAACCGCCAAAAGTGGTAACTGAAAACTCTCTAATCTTGGCACAGGGGCCTTCTAATCGGGCTGGCACAGGGGCCCCAGCTCAAGGTTTTGCAGGTACGCCGAGTTGATCAGACTCGGTATCCCATGACTGTGGTAGCTTCGTTGAGTGCGGTCCCACAGCCATGCCGCACTCCCCTGCAACATTTGATTCGGTAAATGTCAAATGTCTGATTGAGTTGCAAAGCAAAAATTGCAAACAGTGTAGGAGTGACCCTCTGCTCCCATGTGCTAGGGAGGTTCACACACACACACACACACACACACACACACACACACACACACACACACACACACACACACACACACACACACACACACCACACACACACACACACACACACACACACACACACACACACAACACACACACACCACCACACACACACACACACACACAACACACACCACACACACACACACACACACACACACACCACAACACACACACACACACACACACACACAACACACCACACACACACACACACACACACACACACACACACAACACACACACACCCACACACACACACACACACACACACACACACACACACACACACACACACACACCACACACCACACACACACACACCACACACACACACACACCACACCACACACACACACACACACACACACCACCACACACACACACACACACACACCACACACACACACACACACACACACACACCACACACACACACACACACACACACACACACACACACACACACACACACACACACACACACACACACACACACACACACACACACACACACACAACCACACACACACACACACACACACACACACACACACACACACACACACACACACACACACACACACACACACACACACACACACACACACACACACACACACACACACACACACACACACACACACACACACACACACACACACACAGCCACCGCCGCCACCGACACCACCGCCACCGCCGCCACCGCAGCCACCACCACCGCCACAGCCACCGCCACAGCCACCAGTATCATGACTACCGCCGCCGCCACCGCCACCACCACCGCCGCCACCACCGCCACCGCCGCCGCCGCAGTCACAGTTGCCATGCAAAGCATTTCCAAATCGTTCCCGCATTGCTACAAAACTCCCGAAAAGCAAACCCCCTCTCCCGGCCCGGGAGAGGGGGTTTGCTTTGAAGCATTCTTGGGGCCCCCGGGCAGACCGTGGACTCAACTGCCACAGTCAACCCAAAGCGAGACGTAGACGTAGACATTTGTCTGATGTAGAGGATGACGGCGGAGATCCACACTCTTGCAGATGAGATGGAGGGCTACATGCGACATGTTTTCTTGACGGCAGCTGACCTTCTGGTCGCAGACAATACACGTGGCAAGGCACTGTCTAAGTCAGCAGCTGCGCGCTTGGAACGCTTCGGCCATGCCTTTCCTGATTCGAAGATCTTTGATTTGTCCCAGAACCCAAACCAACGAGCCCGACTGGGAACAACACACTGCCCAACTTTGACAAAGACATCGATCATCTGGCATGTGGACGCTGGTCGCATTTACTGAAACTTTGCTGCAACAATAACCAAAGTCTGTATGCGCCAATACTGAAGATTTTGTGACACTGCTGAGCTGAGGGGGCGCTGAGCTTCTGATGGCACATGGGTTGCCATTGGCCGAATGGGCGTCCCGTGCAATGGGGGTTGATAAGTGGAACTCGTGTGGAATTTCGGATGCAGGATTGGCGAGATTGGCAGGGAACTCCATGTCAGCTCCGAATGCTTCCTGAAACAAATCTAGGATTCGGTGTCTGTGAGTGCGGGGTAATAATTTACACACGGGCCCGAATCTCCGCTGAGGTTGGAGCGGCACTGGCTTGCTTGATTCTTGGGGCTACATATGGACATGAAATGGACGAGTCGTGAAATGCCAGTCGGGTGTTATCGCGGGCTGAACGATGTGGAGCACAGACATCCGCCGTGACGTTATGACGAGAAATGGTGTGTGTGAAAGCGAGAGAGAGAGAGAGAGAGAGAGAGAGAGAGAGAGAGATTAAGTATAGAGGGCATGTGGTAAGCAGCACTGTCGTCAGATTCTTGCGGTGCTCTCGCGATCAGTTGATCTTTGCTTGCCGATTCGTAATTCCGAAATTTGATGCGCAAGTCATTTTGACTGAGCCTGTCTGGTCACACTTAGAAGCGTCGTTGACAAGGTCGCGCGGTGCTTCTGCATTCGTAGATTCCACTACATTAGAGGGTATCTGTAGCTAAGCAGGTAGTTAGGAGCCGAGAATAAAGTGGTTTTCTGGTCTGCATTCTTGCGACATAGTGTTTCTGTAGCGGAACTTGTGCAGAACTGCTGTTGTCAGCGATGGCTGCGACGTCGGATGATGTGAAACAAAATCTTCCAGCCCCAGAGCAGAGCAACGATGGTGAAGAGTCCTCAGACCATGAAGGTGAACAGGGTGAACAACATGAAGATGAGTCCAAGTGCGTGATCCTAGGCTAGCAAGGGTATGTAGTTTTGTTGTATATTTACTGTGCTGATATTTTCTTTCAGGGAGGTAGGAACTGAGAGTGAGGGGTGAGGGTGAAATGAGCTAAGGCTGGCGAAGTGCGTCAAATGTGATGTGAAAACGCCTATGCGTCAGACTTTGTCGGCAGGAAGAGACTATCGGATTTGTAAGTTGTGCTACAATGCACAGCGTGCACTCAGTGTACACTTCAGAAAGAGGGGGCAGAGGGCATACTGGGACTCTATGAACGCAGAGAAGAAGAAGAAAATGATCGTCCGAAACAAGGGCACCGGAGGAACCAAAGGAAAGGAGCGCGAACTCGACCTGGAAGAGGGCGTGGCTCACCCGCATCAGGTGTACGTTGACGTGTGTTTGTTTATGTACAGTGAGGGTGTGTGAGTTGCATCCTGTGTGTATAGGTGGTTGTTTCGGACTCGCTGGCAGTGGCCGGCGAAGCGTACCACACTAACAGGATTGAGCCCCTCGTCCAACCGCCATCGCGACAGGAAGCACACACGGTGAACACCACGGTTAACCTAACAGTCACAAGTGAACCACCCAGCTCAGGTTTGGCAAGGAGTGTGCCAAGAGATGGGATATGTCTCCGCGCGAGATCCAAGATTATTGGATGCAATGCCAGAACGATCAGTCAGTGCCTAAAGGACTTGGGTGTGGGCCGGTGTGCGCAGGCTAGTTGGGGTTGTTCTGACTCATCGACAGGAACTGATGAACGAGGCTTTCCGACCATTGCCAAGCTGGTCCGACACAAAGTTACGTCTGGCCGGGAGATCAAGCACGAACGTGCCTTGAGAGAGAAGAAGGCTATCAAGACTGACGATTTGTCAATGATGGACGCGAAGCAGCGACCCTCCACTATGTCATTTCAGTTCGCTGATTGTCCTTGTTGAACCCATGTCTTTGCAACACTTGTTCAGCAATATAGCTAAGGACTCACGGTTGGTATGGATATGGCGATCGACACTGGCATTTTTGATTATGCCAATGTCAACTTTATGTCTTCTTCATTGCCAGCGTTGAATCCAACGGATCTTAAAACCAAAGGGGCTGCGCCTTGTCTTACGTTACGACGCATATCTATAAGTGATCGGCTAGCGTATGTGCCGATTCAATGAGGCTGGTTGCCTCATTACACCGGCGGGGAGCAATCGAGCCTCCAACGGTGGCCGTGCTTCGGCCTCCAGCAGTGCTGGTGGAAAGAAACGGAAGCTGACAGATGCAGCTCAAGCTCAAGCGGACGACGCGGAGGATGAACACGACCCCAAGCCCAAAAAGAAGTCTGCGAAGCTGAGCGCCGGTGCCAAAGTGCGAATTGACGAGATGGATCGCGATCGACGAAAGCTGAGGCTGCACTTGCGATTGGTGGCTGCCTCAGCTTGTATCACTGTCACTGTCGGCACTTTGTACGTACTTCTGTGTTTGTCATGGGGGAGTCGGGTCCTATAGTCATGAAGCTACGACCAAGGACAAAACCATCAGCGAGACAATGGTGAATGTCGCGGCAACTTGCGCGTCTGCGAAGAAGTATGCTGACATGCGACAGTGGCTTGGTGCAGTGTATGAAACCCTTGGGATACACAGCATATAAATATATGTGCCATCTCACGTAACACACAATGTAGCAGGCAGCATTGATCGTCAATCTGTTTTGATTTGCTATTCATTTTGATGGCTGCTGGAGGGTGTGGGCGGGCATTGGTCGAAACCGTATGCACCGAACAAAAATATTCACGGTGCCAGGCTGCTGTTCTGTCGTCTGAACTTAGCCGTAACTTAGCATTCTGTACTTTGTGTGTGTGTGGTTGAACTCGAATCTGCGACCAAGGTTCGTAGCAACTTTGTACACCTGGGTTGGTTCGACAATTTCTTGCGTGCCGATGCTTGTCGACGGTGCTGTGAAGAAAGTCCTCGACGACTGGGGGACGAACGGTGATAGTTCCGTGGGCCCGGTGCACGAAGCCATAGAAGCGGGCATGAGTCCCAAATCAAAGGCAGTGTCAGATGCAGCATCTCGGGCGTCATCTGATGCAGTGTGTTTGGTCACGACGCGCCATCTCTCAAATTGTGTCTGTTCTGTTGCAGTCAGGTATTCAAGGTGGAAACGGTGCCCCCCGCGACGGCCATCGATGCTTTTGATACACACATGAAGTCCAAGCTGCAGGACTTGAATGTGATGCACAAGAAGCTGACCAAAATGCTCAGCAAACAATGTCCGGGCCTCATCATGGGAATGGGAATTTCAGCAGCTTTCGTTCAAACGTTAGTTGCTTCGAAAAGTTCATTCAACATTAAGGGGATGATGAGGCCGCCGAGGCAGCTGCTGCAGCAGCACAGGCACGCAAAGAGCAAGAAGCAGCCGAAGCAGGATTGAAACCATCGGCAGCGAAAACACAGGAAGGGCCCAAGGAATCCAAGGATGCGTCTGTGGATGAAGTGCCTCCAGAGGTGGACGGTGTATGCACATATGGATGCCGATCCCTTGCCACCATGCTTGAAGAACTCGGTGATTTTAGATCTCAGTCTGATGAGTCTTGCTACAAGGCAGTGGCGGAGGGCTCAAATGTGACTCTGCATTTCCTCGAGAATATGGAGCCGTTGGATACCAGTGGTTTCTCAGAGCCACATGTCTTCATGCCATTAGGTGCGGATGATCCGGATGAGAGCACAATGATTGAGCCGACGATTGAGACCACGTCTCCAGTATGGTTGATCGAAGCTGTTGGAAGGGACGTCATGTCAACCTCAGCCACATCCGTCCAGTGCACCCGGTTTGCCCTTGCGGATTCATCGTGCGCATCAATGGCTGGCCATGTGAGAATCTTACGACCGGGAAGGGGTAGGTTGAATCATCGAAGTTGTTTTGTGTGTGTGGGTATGTCATCGGGCGATGAAATGAACTGTGCACATGCTTAACTGCTTGAATCTCAGCGGCGTCAGGTGTTCTCTTTCGGTGAAGGGTCGGCTCTTGCAAAGCATTTGCAGCCATTGGATTATATCAGTCAGCTCGCTGTCAAGCCGGAGATCACTTCACAGTTCCCGCAGGCAAAAGACCTTATGATGCTCCGCTCCCTCGGCGAAGTGTCTTGTGCGCGGTTCCCCGCCAACTCCGTCCAAGTAGGGCCCACAGATAAGATGTTGGGCCGCGTGGTCCATTGCTGCTTTGGCAAACGCCTCTACATCGCAGCGTCTGTGGAATCCCTGAGTGAAAGCTTCGCCACCCACTTCCAGCAGGACTTCCGTTTTGCGTCACCCCTGCGATGCCACGGTTAGGGTTCATGTCTGCATGTTTCTTCGCACTCTTGTCCTTAAACCTTGCCAGGATGCAAAGACCATTGGACAGCTTGCGAGCTGGCTTCACAAGCTGCCTTTCGACAGTCTCGAGGAGTTTGGGTTCTTCGTGATGTTGACGGCTGGGGCCACACTTCTTATTCCTCCCGGTACAATCGTGGTGGAGTGTTGCTTGGGTGATGTTGGCGCAACCGTGCTCTCGTATCCTACCTTGCTTCCTGGTCAGTTTCCAGACGTGCAAACTCGATGGGAGCAGGTGGAGAAATTGTTGAACCCGGACAACGCATCGCAGGTAAACCTTGGGCATGCCATAAGCTTCGTGCACAGGTTGATCTTGGTCGCGTCTGTGAAATCAGAACCTGAAGCTGAACTTGATCGCGACGCTCAGCGGGGCTGTGAGGAAACTGCAGATGCAACCAAGACCAGGGCGCAGGTTTTTCGAATGCAAGTGTCTGTCTGGCTTTGTTGTCGTTGCTTGGTGGAGCTGAGTGTCTGGCTGCCTAAGGTTGAGGTGCGTCTGCCACCGGACACACAAGGTCCTGAGGATGAACGGAGGGTCCCTGCAGCCAACGCAGCAGCAGCAACCGGTGGGCAGGTTCTTCGAGTGCAAGTATCTGGTCTTGTTGTCGTCTTGTTTTGCTTGTCAAACTTAATGCGGCGAGTGACTTGCGCCGAGCGCTTACCTGCCTAAGGATGAGGTGCCTCAGCTACCGAACGCGAGTAGTGGTGACGATGATCAGAGTCAGAGGGTCGAAGGCGCAACCGACGAGGCTCAGGTTTTCTCGTATGCACATATCTGAGTGGCTTTGTTATGGTCTTGTTTTGGATGCGACTGACTGTCTGTCCTCAGGTACGGGATCAGCTAAAATTTCAGCTGAGTCCTGATGGGACCTTGGATTTCAGCGTGAGCCTGACGCCGGACTTGGTGCGGTGTTTCTTCGATCCTGACAAGAATCGGGCTTTACATGACAAGTGCTTGCACATCGCATCGGAGAAGCAAGCCGCATATCAAGCATCCGGGCGTCTGCCAGTATCTTCAGAGCACTACCCAGTGACCAAAGAATCTTGCGAAAGGTTCTTCGATTCCTCATCGTATCACGAACGCAGGAAGTTTGCGGAGGCGGCGGCTCCGACACAAGTCCCCGTGCAGCGCGTGCAGGGCCTCACAGCCAAAGACTTTTGTGGCTTTTTCAACATTGAGATGCCGTCATCAATCGGCGTCGGCATTGGTGTACACAAGACATCCGACACGGCTGCGAGGGCAGAAGCTTTGGCAATGCAAGCAGCCCCTCCACCAGTTCTTAGCGTGCGAAAGGCTGTTGCATCCGATTCCCAGAAGGCGAGGTCCTAGTACGTTATCAAATTTAGTTGACATGCTTTGGAGTGTCGAGTCCCTGTTGTGTTGTGCTTTATTGGCACAGGCAGCGGCACCCGCTGAGAGTGACGACGATCTTTCTCGCGAACTTGAGAAGACCCTACGGGAAACTTATCCGGAGTTCCTGCAGCCCATGTCATCAGCAGACAAGCCAGAACCGCGGTCGGGGTCCCCGGCCCCAGCCAGCACCAGCGCGAAAAGCCATATGCCGAAAGCACTCGCAGACGCCTTTCAGAAGGCAATCAAAACACATCATCCGCACCCTCTACGCCGGCGGCCGCTGGCAACGGTAAAGCCGGTCAGCAGCAGCCCAAAGCACAGGCAAAAACCAAGACAGCACCGCAGAAGCAGAAGCCACAGAATCCATGGGCAGGCCAGGAAAATCAGAAACGTTTTGTGTTTAGATTGCTTTCATTGATTGAAGTTTGAAGCTACAAGCAGCCTCAAAGTACCCAGAGCCAAGCTTTGTTTGGAGGACGTGGGCGTGGGCGCGGTGGTCGCGGCCGAGGTGGAGGATCGGCAAACTTTGGTGGTAAGAAGAAGTGAGTCTGAGCGTAGGGTCGAGTCCATTATCAGTCCATCGCATCCACTGAAGGTTTAGGTAGTTTAGGTTTGAGTGTCGGTTTTCCGTTTATGGTGTATCGGCGGGGCTGGGCCAGCGAGTGCTACTGGTTCTGTTGTATTAAGCTCTGGGCCCCAGGGCGTGGGTTTTGTCGTTTTATGAGGGTTGGTGTTTACTTACATACGCACGGACACACACACACACTCACTCACTCACTCACTCACTCACTCACTCACTCACTCTCTCTCTCTCTCTATCACTCTCACACTCTCTCTCTCGCTCTCTCTGTGTCTATACCTCGCACTCTTTCTCGCTGGCACTTCTGCTCTTGATCCCGTATATATATATATATATATATATACTGACATATCGTCTTGAACGGTGTTGTGTCGTCGACGTCATTTTTGATCATCCTTGTCATGTCGGTTGTTTGCGCTTTCAGTATATTTTGCCATAGCAAGCAGTAGGGCTCGTATGAATGGATGGACTGGATGGATGACCGTCCCGAGATAATTGCGTTCTGCCAGTCGCTGCCAGTGGTGTTTTCAAGCTCAGAGCCTAGCTTACTTGGCTTGCGTATTCAATACGGATGATCCCGTCGCTGATTCACGGGCCAAATAGAGGCCGCTCATTGAGGTCATGAGCCAACGTGATGTCGCTCAAAACTGGCGGGGGTGCCGTTTCAGCGCCCGCGATGGGAGACCGGAGAATCCTAATCCTAATCATGTATGAACCCTCGACATACCCTCGACACCTGTACCGTTTGGCAGTGTGGCAGTGGCAGCGCGCGAGACAGGCATAATTCATTCTTATATGGGTTGCACGCTTTTGCCTTCGTGGCATTGGCTTGGAAACCAATTCTCCTAGCAGTGCTTGAAACAAGCCAAAGCAATGGAGCCCAAGCTTAAGTAGATAGGTCTGCAACCGCTCGGAGGTTCTATTGTACATAGTTGTCTATCTACTACCTTAGCTGTTCTGGTATGTTCAGGCATGAGTTAGAACCGCCATCGAGGGTTGCAATAGGACAAGGATCACAGACCTTAGGACTCAGGACGCCCGTGACGAAAGCCATGTGCAGACTTGCGCGAAGGCCTCTGCTCTTCAAGGTTGTTGTGGATTCACAAGTGTTCATCATGCAACTTTACAACTTAGTGCATTCACTGCCGTCTCATATCCCAAAACATGCCCAGCGGCTATCCAAATCCTCAAGATTCTTGAATCGCATCATACATAGTTACATAGCATCGTGGCCGCAAATTGTCCACATTAATTGTGCTAGAAAAAACAAGAGATGCACTTAAGTTGAAATCGGCCATCCTCCCGAACTAGCAAACGCGAAATTGAAATCCTCAAAATAATCAGTACCGGTGCCTCACGGACCGGCGCGAGCTTCATCGGTGGCTGGGGGATACTGATAACCCCCCAATTGAGCCTTGAACAGTCAGGCACCACCTCCACTCGCTGGGACCGCCGTGCCACAACCTAGAGCCTCTCCCCACAAGGGTGGATCATCGGCCCTAGGCCCCAGCTCAGCGTGCCCCACTAGGATAGAGTAGAGTAGGATAGACGGCGGTGACGGATCTGTTGGCTGGCCGGCATATCCGGCATGTCCGGCATGCGGCCGACTGAAGCGGGGAGGCGTGCTTTATTCTATATATTCTTTGGAAAGATACAAGACAGAAATATGCCGGATATGCCGGGTATGCCGGATTGCGGGTATGCTGAGCCGAGACAGCCCCGCCGTGCCCGGCATACCCGGCATATCCGGCATACGCGGCATATTGCGCTCTCTCTGGGGAGGGTGTTCCAGCTCTCCACTCTGTAGTAGCTACGAGGCTAGTTTCGAGACATAGGGTAGAATTCGATACTCGGAGGGTCTGTCGATTTTGAGGGCTGGAGGCCGTACGGCTCGCAATCTTAGGGGCTCCAAAGTGCTTGCAAAACGGGCGCGCGCTGCATCGGAAGCAGTTCGAGGGCACGCGGAGGGTTTGCGAGCTGCTAGGGAGCGACGTGCGCTTGCGCGAGTCTGTTGGCGCGGAGGCGCTTCGGAGGTGCTCTAGGGATCGAGCCCAGAGGGTTGTTGTGCCAGACACAACAAACCCGGAAGAGCAGAAGCGAAGGGTGGTACGCCAGACGTACCACCTCCGAATCACGAGCCTGCCGGGATCGGGAGCTGCTCGGAAGCTCGGTAAGCGGTTCGAAAGCTGCTGTGTTGCGGTTCAAAAGTCGCTGAGTGGCGGTTCGAAAGCTGCTGTGTTGCGGTTCAAAAGTCGCTGAGCTGAGTTGCGGTTCGAAAGCTGCTGTGTTGCGGCTCAAAAGTCGCTGAGTTGCGGTTCGAAAGCTGCTGTGTTGCGGTTCAAGAGTCGCTGAGTTGCGGTTCGAAAGCTGCTGTGTTGCGGCTCAAAAGTCGCTGAGTTGCGGTTCGAAAGCTGCTGTGTTGCGGTTCAAGAGTCGCTGAGTTGCGGTTCGAAAGCTGCTGTGTTGCGGCTCAAAAGTCGCTGAGTTGCGGTTCGAAAGCTGCTGTGTTGCGGTTCAAGAGTCGCTGAGTTGCGGTTCGAAAGCTGCTGTGTTGCGGCTCAAAAGTCGCTGAGTTGCGGTTCGAAAGCTGCTGTGTTGCGGTTCAAGAGTCGCTGAGTTGCGGTTCGAAAGCTGCTGTGTTGCGGTTCAAGAGTCGCTGAGTTGCGGTTCGAAAGCTGCTGTGTTGCGGTTCAAGAGTCGCTGAGTTGCGGTTCGAAAGTCGCTCGTGAGCTGCTGGCGAGTGCTCGTAAGTTGCCAGCAAGTAGCTCGTAAGCTGCTGGCGAGTGCTCGTAAGTTGCCAGCAAGTAGCTCGCAAGCTGCTGGCGAGTGCTCGTCAGCTGCTGGCAAGAGGCGCGCCCTTAAAGTTCCTCTAAAGCCCGTTTTGCAAAGACTTTAGAGCCCCTAAGATCGTCAGAGCTGCGGGCCGTAGGCCCGCGAATCGACAGTGCTCCAAAGTACCGAATTCTGACCCATGTCTCGAACTGAGGCTTGTAGCTATCACAGAGTGGAGTGCTGGAACACCTTCCCCAGAGAGAGCTTCGGCCTTTTAGCCCCAAAATTTAGGACGAGCCAATCGGAGCTCGACGATTGTGGACCCGAGCGGAGCGAACGAGCTCACGGAGCGAACGGAGCGAGCGAGCGAGCGAAGCGAGTCGAGCGAGCGGAGAGAGCGGAGTGAGAGAGTGAGGGGAGCGAGAGAGTCCACAATCGTCGAGCTCCGTTTGCGAGGAAAATTTGGGGCTAAAAGGCCGAAGATCGTTGCGTCCTACGCGCCTGAGCCCTGTCGATCTTTTCGTTTTTGGCCCGAGGCTGTAGGCTCAACACCCTTTCGATTTTGAATCAGCTTCCTTCTAGACGATCGATTGTGGGGCGTAGACCCCGCTATACAAGAGAGAGGACGTATGTCGAGCACCGAGGAACAATTTGAGCGGCCCAGTGAGGGGCGGCCGGTGAATGTTCGGACCCTCACAGGCCGTCAGTTATTTGTCGCGTAAGAAAGGCTGAAACCAAGCGCGGCGTCCGTCGAGTAGATTCTCATCGTTCGACTCTTGGGCACCAAGCTTGGCCCTCGTATCACGCATCTGGATGGAAAGCGTGGACGGTACTTGCAAATCCAAGGGGACAGCGTCCAGCGGGAGCACTTTGGGGGAGCTGGAAAGTTCCGTTGCCTTGGCTCAATCAGAGGAGTGGCCCGCATAGGGCCAACCGCTTACCGTAGCACGGGCGACGAGCAGGT